TGTGTGTGTGTGTGTGTGTGTGTGTGTGTGTGTGTGTGTGTGTAGGTGTTTTGTGTGCAATGTTAGCCATCGCAGACACGGTGAAAGCAGAGTCAGCATTAGCAGTGCATACACTGAACACTATGGGCATTGAGGTGGTGATGATGACGGGAGACAACAGGCGCACAGCTAAAGCCATAGCAGCACAGGTAACACTTGCACACTCTTAAAATCTACCTGAATGTTTAACATGTAATCAAAGTATTTGATTGGCTGCAGGTGGGGATCAGAAAGGTATTTGCAGAAGTGCTGCCATCACACAAGGTGGCAAAAGTCCAGGAGCTGCAGAAACGAGGCCTGCGGGTGGCCATGGTGGGAGATGGCGTGAACGACTCCCCCGCCCTCGCCCGTGCCGACGTCGGCATCGCAATCGGGACAGGCACCGATGTGGCTATTGAGGCGGCTGACATTGTCTTGATCCGAGTAGGTGGCAGATAGTCTGTGTGCAGATACATTGGCTCATTTAAACTGTCTCACTTGAAGCTTTTCGCGCTGTGCAGAATGACCTGCTAGATGTGGTGGCCAGCATCGAGCTGTCCAAGAAGACGGTACGTCGGATAAGGATCAACTTTGTCTTTGCTCTCTTCTACAATCTTGTTGGAATACCAATTGCTGCAGGTGAGAGCTACAGTAAAATCCTGAACCAATAATGGACTCTAGTCAAGGTGAACGTGCAAGCTCGATATTTTAGGAAACCAAAATCCAAAATGAAATCAGAAATTATTCTTATCCTGGCACATTGTGGATGACATTGAGGTGCCTCTTTCTCAAATGTGAACTGTTGGTCGTAGGTGTGTTCATGCCCGTTGGCCTGGTGCTCCAACCCTGGATGGGCTCAGCTGCAATGGCCGCCTCATCAGTTTCAGTGGTCCTGTCTTCTTTACTGCTGAAAATGTGAGTCCTTCTGCGTTTACATTATCTACACTTATATTAAAGATTAGGGAGGAAACAGCAGGACAAAGCAGCCACAAATTAAATCAGACCTGTTGGTGGTGCCTGAATGACCCCTGTGAGGGAAATTAAGATGATACATCGTGCATCACAGGCAGTGTTGCCAACTTAGCGACTTTGTCGCTATATTTAGCGAGTTTTCAGACCCCTTACTAAAAAAAAGACGTGAAAGCGCGTATCGCTTTTACTCTCAACAAGCAGCAGGTGCTGTAACGCAGTCAGTTCTTCTTTTACTCTTTTACTCTTATGCTGTTTTGTGGATCACAAGGTTTAAAACTACTTATAAACACACACACACACACACACACAAAGTAACTCCACCAGAGTGCCTATTTCGGGTCACTTTTGCCGGTCCAAGCCCGGGTAAAGGAGCAGGGTTGGAATTGTGTCATTAAAAAAAACAATAATTGCTAAAAGAAATTTGATTTTTAGTTCTAAATAAACTCTGGCAACACTGATCACAGGGGCTCACCAAAATTGGACAATAGATATCTGGAAACATATTCCGTGGTCGGATGAGTCTATTTCAGTTTAGAATCTGACGAAAACAGTATGAATAAATGAATTCATCCTGCTTTATATCAACAATTGATCCTGGGAGTGGTGGTGTAATGGCATGGGGGACATTTTCTTAGGACATTTTTGCTCATAGGGATTCCAGCTGGTTGGCTCAGATGGTTAGAGTGTGGTGCTAATAATGCCAAGGTCACAGGTTCACCCCATACTAGACAAGGAAAATCTGCATTTCAATGATTTAATTTGTTTTTATTTATAAAATGCCAAATCACACAACAGTCACCTCAAGGTGCTTTATATTTTAAGGTAGACCCTACAATATTACATACAGAGAAAAACCCAATAATCAAATGACCCCCTATGAGCAAGCACTTTGGCGACAGTGGGAAGGAAAAACTCCATTTTAACAGGAAGAAAACCTCCAGCAGAACCAGGCTCAGGGAGGGGCGGCCATCTGCTGCAACCAGTTGGGGTAATCATGATCATGAAACTGACCTCACAGCCCATTGTTAGTTAGTCAGTGGTGCCAGTATCATTAATTATGTAAATATACTGTTGATACAGTGGGGAAACCTGCAGTCAGCTCAGACTAAAAGCCTTTATCTGTCTGAAATCTCAGCGTCCAGATGAACACAATAAACTTTATGTGATATGAAGCTTATGTTTTCCTTTCTCCCGCATACCTGGTCTGTTTTCACTCGCGCTTGAGTTTAGTAGTGAAATTAATCACCCCGTATTTCCTCCAGGTACAAGAAAACCTCAGTGGAGCTCTATGAGATGCGTGCTAGAGGCCAAATGAGGAGCCTTCGTTCGTCTCAGATCAGCACACATCTGGGTCTGGACGGCCGGCGGCGCAGTCCCGCTCTCCCCAACGCAACTCGGGAACAGAGGAACCCAAGCGGCATGACTCCACCCGGCTTCTCCAGCCGCTCACCCAGTCAAGGGGCATCCATTAAGGTTGTTGCTGAGGAGCAGAACCGCTACTCCCTGCTGGAGCACCAGACTGCAGACGTCCTCAACGTGTTGTAAAGGGAAAACAGGAAGATGTTTTTTACCTGGTACTCATGTTTATGACTAAAAAAATTGTTTTTTTTATGTAAATACACTAATTGTCAAACCTAAAGTGCTCTTTTATTTTGATGTAACATTAAAGTTTTACTGAAGCCACATGTATAAAGTCGGTTTGCTTATGTGTCACATAAATCCTCCAGACAAATAACTTCGGTGCAAATCGACTTTTACAATATCCACGAGTCAGAGTAAAGCTACTGTTCGGATAAGGCCGTCAGTGAGAGTGTGGATCTGAGAGCTTATAAATAATGCATGTGTTGATAGAGGGAAATCATTTTCTGTGTAAAAATCTCTTCATCCGTTTCATCTGATTTTGTGATTTGTTTGCAAATTTGCACATTCTCAATGCAACTTAAGTTCCACCAAATCCAAGAAGAAAATAAAAACACTCCAGAGAAGAAAACTACTCTTTTCATGTTGCCTTGTGGGATATTTTCCACTAAAGCTTCACAGATGTGAAGACAAAAAATTGGAGTGCAGTATTTTTTCCTTTCTTTTTTTCCATATCTGCTTCACACTGTGCCAGGGTTAATTAATGGAGCGCATTAATCAAATGACCTCACACATGGATTCTATAGTTAGTTTCACATCTTGTTGAGCTTAATTACGAGTGAGTAGATATATGGACGTCAGGGTTATAAATATGACTCGTGTCTCGCACTTAGCCTGCACAATAGACTTTTTTATTACGACAGTCTGACATATGGAAGCAGGAAAAGCACAGCTGTAACCTGGTACGCCTTTATTCGTGTCATTATTCACGCCTGCCAAGAGAACAAGTCAAAGGGCTACTAATTAGCTCCCTATTATAGTGAGTCTAGAAGCAAGGCTGGTGCTCACAAAATGTAATTTGCTCTCATTCATTTCTTTTTGGTTATCAGGAACAAAACCTTAAAATCACAGGTCTGGCCCACTTAAAGTCAAAGTGGGCTGTATGTGTCCACAATGTAAAATTATTTTGACATAACTGACAAATAAATCTTTTTGCTAGTGTGTCAGCACATTTCTCTGTGGGAGCTTTTTGAAATGACGCTACTTTGAATCCCGTGAGGTCTTCAGTGATTGCTTCAACCCTTCCTCCAACCAACCCTGCGTTTTGGAGCAAACTTGGAGGGACTGAGAATCACGATACTAATTTAAGGTCAAGTGTTATCCACTTAGCCCCACTCTCGCAGCCCTAGGGACCGGTTCATGTCTGTCATTCTTGTCCCTTCTGATGGGAATCCTACATCCTCAGCTCTGCTTCCTGGCAGTGCCACTGTCTCCAAACCATACATCACAGCAGGTCTTAGTCCCACCTTGTAAACATTCCTTTTAGTGCCTCTGGTATCCTTGCAATCCTGCCACTAGCCAACTTTGCCAGCTTGAAGTGTTTGTAGTCGTGGTTGTAATCCTCCAAGGTTATGCACTGTGAGATAACAAACCATACATTATTAAGCTCTCAGTAAATATCTTGTGGTCTGGCTTATCAATTACAACTCATCAATCAGTAACCATATGGTTTCAAAGTCAGATCCATGTCTGGTGTCAAAACTTAAGGCTTAAAAAACAGGTCTTCAAAAACTGGTGGCTACAAACCTGAACAGAAGTTTGTCAACACTCAGTGGAACCAAACTAGGGATCCAGACCCCTTCAAAAGGTCAAGAGATATTAAATGTGTTTTAAAAACTTTTTTTTAGCTCTTTTCATTCTTGATTTATATATTTTTCTAATACTCTATTTTTAAACATATTTTTAAACAAGGAAAATGAACTACACCTTTTTAAATCACTGTCATAACTATTCCACAGGTTAACTCCTCTAACAGAAACACATCTCTGCTTTATATTTGTCCTCATCTTGTTTTTTTTTTTAAAGA